ACCGGTCTCACCTTACGGCATGTGGAGCGCCCCAATGCCAGCCGAGTGCCTCAAGGCGACGCAGCGCCTCGTCGACGTCGTCACGCCGCTCGGCGTGAAGCAGATCTTCCGCGTACCCGCCAACAAGAAGGAGCTGCGCGAATCGCCCGAGCGGACGCAATGGGAGGCCGCCGACCGCAAGGCCCTCGACTGCATCCTCCGTGTCCCCGGCAACCGCCTCGTGCCCGTCACCGTCCCCGCGGCCGCGGGCGTGCCGATCCAGCGCTGCGTCACAGCGCGCAAGATCAAGATCGACCAGGCGACCGGAGGCCTCGACCAACACGACCCGTTCAAGTCACGGCACTCCGCCGACGGCGGCTTCGCCAAGGTCCAACGCGCCCGCGCCGGCCTACCACCGTCGGGCGTCCCGGCTACCTCTACCGTTGTCGACGACTTGACCGCCAAGCTGTTCGTCGGACACGCCGCCGCCGTCGATGCCCACCTGACCAAGGGAGACGTCGGGAACGCCTATGTCAAGGGCAAGCGACAGGGGCCCGTCGGCTACATGGCGCTCCCGTCCACGCTACCCATGACCGACGAGGACGGGACCGAGCTGTGCATCGAGCTCTGTTCACCTCTCTGGGGCGAGGAGTGCGCTGGCTACGAGTGGGAGTGCACGTTCAATGACACCATCAAAGGCCTAGGGTGGGTGCCGTGCCCGGGTGTCCCCGCGATGTTCTCGTTCCATGGGGAGCACGGAGAGGCCCGCATGATCACGATCGTCGACGACTTCCTCATCTCCGAGGTGAACGGCACCACCATCACCGACGCCACCATCGCCGCGCTGAAGGCCGCTTTCAACGACGAGGTCAAGGTCGACTACTCGCCCACCTCCTTCGCCGGCTTCAAGCTCGAGCGCGACCGCGAGCGGCGCACCCTCACGCTGTCCATGCCGCAGAAGATCATCGAGGCCGCACGCGAGCACATGCCCGAGCTCCTCCGCGGCGAGCGTCCGACCGTCCTCAGCGGCAAGCGCCTCGCCGACGCCGCCGACTCGCTCAAGCTCGCCGACCGCGACGGCAAGCTGTCGCCCCAGCAAGTGCGCACACAGAGCATCATCGGCCACCTCAAATTCGTCGAGCGCGTGCAGCCGCGACTCTCCCTCGTCCTCCACCGCCTCTCGTGCGTCATGTCGGCGCCGCCGCCCGAGGCCTACGAGGTAGCGCGCGCCGCGCTCTGCACCGCCTACGACCGCAAGCACGACGGCATCACGTACGGCGGGCTAGACGCGGAGGCCGAGTTGCAGGGCCGCATGAGCGCGCACATCGCCGGGCTCGACTCGCACGCGCCCACCGAGCTCGTCGCCGCCGCCGACGCCACCTGGAACGGCGACCTCGACCTCTATGGCATGCTGCTCACCTGCTTTGGCGCTGCCGTCATGCACAGCGTCAAGAAGATCGGCCTCGTCGTCGACTCCTCACACGAGAGCGAGGCCATCGCCAGCGCCAAAGCGGGCGAGCTCGTCGCATACGCCCGCGAGGTCCTCGTCGCCCTCGGCGCCCCGCCGACCGGACCGACCGTCATCCTCTCGGACAACAAGGCAAACGTCCTCGTCGCCAACAACGCCAAATCCGCCTCGCGCTCGCGCCACTTCCTGCGCCGCTACCACACGCTGCAGCGCCGCATGGCCGACGGCGAGTGCCGCGTCGTCAAGATCACCGACGACCTCATGCCCGCCGATTTCTTGACGAAATGGGTCCCCAAGGAGAAGCTCAAGCGCAGCGTCGACCACGCCTCCAACGCGCGAGCTCGCGCGGTGCATGGGGGGAACTGATCAATGCCGCCTCTGCGGGCCGATCCCGCCCAGCGACATTGGGGGGGGTGCGGTAGGTAGACATTCTACCTCCCATCCAACCCACCGAAACCCGTGTGGATGGGTTTTACCGCCGCCTTTTACCATCCATAGCCGTCGGGTTTTACCTCGCGTTCTCTTGGTGTCGTCTATGGTTTGCTAGACCCATGAGACCATCCTCACCGCGCTATCGGGCGCCTCCACCGCCGCCCTCAGCCACGCCGCTACGACCGTCGGAGGCGTCAACTCCGCCGTCACACAAGTCTCATCACTCATGTAAATGATGTCCTCTATCTTGCGGGCCAACTCCCGCGCGCATCCCGCGACGCCTGCGGTCGTTACTGCGGCCGGTGGCACACGGCTGGCACGGGCACATCCTTGTGCGCCACGAGCGCCCGAAACACAACCTCTCCGCTCTCTCCGCGGCGCCTCGCCTCCAGCCGCACCGCCTCCTCCAGCCCGCGAAGGATCTGCGCGTTCCCCGCGTCTGTGCCGTTGCGCCATAGGCGGTCAAAGTGCGCGTCGAGCGGCTCCAGCTCCCCGCCGCGCGCCTCGAGCGGCCGCTCGCACCCCTCCGCGACGCAGGGCCACACAAACACGATTCTGCCGCGGCCGGGATCGTCCTTGCCGACCGTCGCAACCACAAAGGGCAGGGTGGCGTGCAAGCGGGGGATGAAGCCAACCATGCCAACCTTGACTGTCTCGTCGCCGTCGGCGGCGGCAGCGGAGGCCTGCTCGCTCGGGGCGGCCTCACCTGCATGCCGACGGGACGGGACCGGGGGTGAGGGGCGGCGAGGTGAGGACGGCCGCAAAAGACCCTAAAGCCCCAGGCGTCGCACCCGTCCTCAGCTCGACGGGCACGGGCTCCGAAGACGGAACCGATTGGCGAAACACCGTCGCGCTCGGCTCACCGATTGTCTCCGCCTGGCGGTGGTGGTTTGCTCTCTCGGCCAGAGTGAGGGGAGGGGAGGCGAAGGGGCGTGCGTTCGCGCGCCTGCCGCTTGATGGCCATGATGAGCGCCTCGTACATCATCGTATGGTGACCGTCCTTATACTTGTGCCAGAGCACCGCGAAGCCGCGCGCGAGCGGCTCGATGTCGGCGCTGCTGAGCCGCTCGGTGTGGCCCTCGTCCCGGGCAGACGGGTGGATGGGCCGCACGATGATCACCTTGGACAGGCCGCCGTCGGTGCCGGCCTGCGCCTCAACCACCTCACGCGGCATCTCAGCGTCGGCGGCCGCGTGGCGCGAGGCGTCGAGCAGCACCACCAGCCCCTTGCGCGTGCTAAAGTTCTTCTTGTTCTTCTTCTTCTTCTTGTCGCGCAGCAGGGGGCCCGAGGAGGAGGGGGCAAGGGGGCGCTTGCCGGGCCGGGGGGCGGGGTCGTGTGCGCCGCCGGCGGGGGAGGCCGGCACTTTGCCCTCCTCCTGCCCGCTCGCGTAGCCACTCGGACTGCCGCCGCCGTGCCGTGCCTACGGGAGAGGGGGGAGAGGGTGGGCGAGGGCCGAGGCGCGCGGAGCAGACGCGCGCGGGGCTCCTGGAGGCGCGCGGCGGGCTCCTCCTCACGAGGCGGCGTCGCGAGCCGCGCGAGCGGCCGCAGCCACCCGACCGGTATCCACCGCCCGTGGCCGTCCGCCTCGCGCAGCACCTGGACGGGCGTTGTCGCGAGGAAGGGCGAGTAGGCGGTAAAGCTCTGCCTCTCACCGTGCCGGCGGACCGGCGTGCGCGACGTGCCGAGCGCGCGTATGTGCTGCGCGCCAAGCCCCGTCACGTACGACTCGTACGCGACGAGGTAATCGCACCGACCGGCGCCGTAGAGCTGCTGGTGGATGTCGTGCGCAGCGCCGCCGAGCGAGGGGTACTCCCGGCCGATGAGGTGCTTGCATGCGGGCGGCGCGGTGAGCACGCGCGAGCGGCCCAGCTGCAGCGCGTCGAACTCGAGCACCTCCAGCGTGGAGAGCGTGCCGTGCTCGGTGCGGAGGGAGGTGAAGAGGCGCTCGAGCCGCATATTGCGGCACCTTCAGAAAAATCGATTCGAAAAAAATCGTCTCGTCTCGGTAAATTTCGCACACTGTTCCACGTCAAGCCGGAAGACGGACCTGCGGCTACGGGAGTGGCTGAAGAGGTGGTTAGCGCCATCCTGGAACGAATCTCGGAGCGGGTGGAAGGAGAGGCGGAGGAGGGGATGAGGACACGCCTACGCCAAGCCATGCAGGGACAGGGAGTGTTTGTGTGCTTTTGTTGTGCAGCCCCTGTGGTCCGTGAGAAGAGGAGGCGAGAAGACGGACTGGCGGCGAGGGGGCGGCAGCCGCCACAGCAGGCGAGCGCACCCCGAGCCGGGGACGCACCTAGGGATCGGCCTTCCCCGACGCGGATCTTGCCACAAAGGACGCGAGGCTGCCCGGAGAGATTCGTGCCGGCAGCAGACAGGGTGAGACAACGACGGGATGCGATCCGAGAAGCCGAGAGGGATCAAGAGGCCACGGTGGTGGGCGAGAAGGCGGTCCTGGCGGAACTTAGGGCGATCGGTCTGTCGGTCGCGGACAGCACCGGCGTGCTCAGGCCAGTACAGGCACGAGAGGTGCGGGGCCTGGCTAAACGACTGGTGGGCTCGACGGACCTTCTTGGACAGGTTTTCCGGTGGGAGGGGGAGGACTACCTCGTCAACGACATCGCACCGGCAAGATCCACGAGCTCTCGCGGGGAGGGGTCGGAACGAGCTACGGCACCAAGACGGCGCTCATCGTCGGCAAGCTTGCCACGCTCCTGGAAGGTGAGTGTGAGCGGCTCGAGGAGTACTCCGTCTTCGAGGCGCCGGATGATGGCGCTGTCGTCCCGGTCTTCTATCCCGAGTTCTCGACCACGCTCGCGCGCGTCACCGTCCTCGGAGAGGGCGAGGCAATGTCCGTGTCCATGAGTTTCGCTTAAAAGGGCATGCCGGGCCGAGCACCGCGCTTAACCCCTAAACGGCTAGCTAAAAACGGGGTCCGAGGGGTCGATTTTTGAGAGGGCTTCTCGCGCGTCTATTCGCCCGCCCAGCACCCCAGCATGCGTAGGGAGGGTGTTGCACATTACTTAGTGACACTTGGAGGCTAGGGACGGCAAAGACGTCACCTCGAAATCTCCCTCAAACACGTCCGTCGCCGCCAGGACAGGCCAGACGGGGGCAGCGATCGCCGATTCTGCACGCACACTGGCACTCAACCGGTGACATCACGCCCGCCGCTCACTCCACCGGTCACTACTAGACAGGTACACACGTACCGCAGCGTCGCAGAGTGCAGCAAAGCCGGTTCAAGCGTCGGCGAGAGGTCTCACCGCGCGCCCTGGCGCTGCTGCTGCGCGCGGGTGCTGCGGCGCTTGGCGGGCGGAGCCGGAGCGTCATCGTCGCCATCACCGTCGTCGTCCTCCTCCTCGGCGTCGGCGTCGGCCCCGGCGCCGCCCTCCTCCTCGTTGTAGCGCAACTTCCGCTTGGGCTTGCGCGTCCGCTTCACCTTGCGGATGCACACCTGAGGGCCCCCCAAGCGCACGGCGCGATCAGGATGGGTGTGTGTGTGTGTGGTGTGCGCGCGCGGCGTGTGTGTGCGTGTGACCGTGACGGCGGTGCACCATCGACCACGCCAAACGCTCTCACCCCCCGTGCTGCCGAAAGACAACTCTCTGCCGGATTGGACGGCGTATCGTCTCCCCATTCCCTTGCCACCGCCTGCCACCGAAGGCGCAGAGCGGGATTGTGACGGTCTCTCTATCGCGGGGCGCGTCGCGCCTGTGTGCCATCGGCGATCTCTGGCTGGAAGGACAGCGCCTTCAGCTTCGCGCGGATCTTTGGGTCGTTCGAGTGGGCCTTCATCCAGCACGTGCCTTCGTGCATGTGGCCGCAGCCAGGGTGGCCGCACCCGGAGTAGATCAGCTTGCGGCACCACCTGCACCTGCCCTTCTCAGTGAACGTGACGGGCACGTGGCGGGTCGGCGAACCCAAGCGGCTGACGACCGGATCACGCCGTGGCGACTTGCGCACCGGCGCCTGCGGGTCGGGCCTGCTCTTCCGCTTCTTTGAGCGAGCGGCCCCCTCCCGCTCTAGCCGGTCCGCCATCTGAAGCAGCTCCTCCATCGTCTGCAACGTGTCTTCGATGAGCGTCGTCTTTTTCGCACCGGCGAGCCTACGGACGCCCTCATCGATGAACCTGTTTCGCCAGCAATGCACGTTGACAAAACATCCGAACCACAGCCAAAGGTGGTGGACCATCCACGGGTGAAAAGACTTGAACGTAGTGTCCAGCAGCTCCATGTACTGGCCGAACAGGTCGGTGCCCACCTTGCCCGCATCGTAGTTGGACTTGACAGGCGGCATGTAAACCTCCTCGTACTTGCGTTCGGACTTATTCCAGCGCGGTTTCTTGCTGCCGTTGACCGCGGTGGGCACGCCGTGCGCCGACGACAAGAACCGGACGATCTTGTTGTCGCGCATGTACGTCGCCGTGAGCGGGACGCCGTCAACCGTCGCGTAGTAGGAGACGCACGACCCGCGCGTGTCCGCCGGCTCGTCGGCGTCCTCGACCATGCCGCGGCGGTTCCACCCGGCGGTGCCGAAGAAGTTGAATTTGAACTTCTTCGCCCCGTCGACGACCACCACCGGCGAGTTGTACAGCGAGTCCTGGCCGATCACGAAGCCCTCGCCGTACTTTGCGTGCAGCTTCGCGGCGAGGCCAAGCGTCGACTTATACGTCTCGCCGTGCTCCGCCGCCACACGCCGAGGGCAGTTGAGGACGTGCCACACCACACGCGAGCCGTCGAGGCCGTTGAAGCACTGGTTGCGCTGCGCCCACTTGGCTGGCTTGTCCTTGTTGAAGGAGACCACGACGCCCTCGCCGTTCTTGCCCCGCCACTCGGCCGACGCCTCATCGTCCGACAGCGTCTTCTTCGGGCACACCGCGTTGAGCGTGTTCTCCATCACGAGCTCGTTCAGCTCGGACGTCTTCGCCATCTTGTCGTAGCCCACAGGCGGCGGCTGCGTCATGTCGCCACGGGGAACCAGCTTCGATGGATCGCAGTCGTAGAGGCAGCGGATGCCCTGCGCAAAGTCGTTCTCCGACATGATGACAGAGATGCCGGGGCAGCCGACGAACTTGCCCTTGCGCCAGTAGTACTTGCGGGCGGGCAGGCGGCAAATGGACATCGCCGTGATGATGACGTGCAGTCGGATCAGGAAGGGCACCGACATAGAAGGTGCCTTGCGCTGCTTCCCCTTGCTGCCGTCGGCGCGATTCTTCATCTTCGGCTTGCGCGAGACGGCGTCCACGGTTCCAATCTTCAGGTCGCGGACGCGCTGTTTGCTGTATTTCGAGACGAGCTCCCAGCATCGAATGTCCCACTGCCGGTTGAACAGCTCGACATTGACCGGTCCGTGGTTAGGCAGCGGCTGCTGCAGCCCCTCCGACACACCGGGTGGCAGCTTCCGCGCGAAGACCTTTGGCTTGTGGCTTGGGACGGCGCCGGTGGCCTTTCTCCAGACGATGTTGTCGACGGCGTGGGGCGTTTTCCGCGCCTCCGCCGGCTGCCATCGGCTGCCTTTGACCGAGCCGCGAGGTGCGCCTGGCTCATCGACACGCCGGCGTGCGGCTGGCGCTCGCCTCGCGTTTGCACCACCCTCCGCCTCGTCCCCATCCTCCACGTCCGAGTCGTCGTCGCTCTCGTCTGGGTCCTCGTACCAGTCTGACTTGGGATCGAGCGCCTCGTCGTCGGATATGAGCCACTGCTTCACCACTGCCAGAGGCGCGAAGGCGTCCTCGCCGTAGCCGCCCTGGTTGAACTTGATCCAGAGCATGGACTTTTGAGACTTGTGCAAGCTCTTGACTCGCGCCAAGTAGCGAGCACCCTCGACGTTTACGTTGAAGAAGCTGCACGGCACGCCAAGGTACCTCCCAACAAGCCCAGAGCGAGGATCGGGCGCAGGTCGTTGTTTTGCCTTGCGCTTCATTCGCTATCGAAGGGTGCTGCGGGAATCTAGGGAATCTGAAGGAATCTTAGATTCTCTCTCCGAGATGCGACTCCGGAGTCAAGCGGCTGGTGGTAGGCGGCACAGCACCCGAGCGAAAGTGGGTCGCCGGATCGGCCGACTTCGCTCCTTAGCCGCCCGGTTTTCTCTTTCACAGAATTGGGCGAAGTTCCCATATGGGAACCACAGCCGTTTAGGGGTTAAGGCTTCACGCTCGCCACCGCACGCTGTTGGGTCGCGGTCAGGACAGCTCTCTCTCCTCCACAGCACACACCACCCCGACCCCTTCTACTCTGTAAAATATCCTAGCGGCCGCTCCGGACGCTCACGTAGCCACTTCTAACGTACAATTCATGGCGCTCCGCTCTCCGGCGCCGCGGAGACGCGTGAGCCGAGGACTCCGCGTGACGCAGTCGACGCGGCGGCAAAGGAGCGACTCGTGGAGACGCTCGAGCGCAGAGCGACTCCCTGCAGCTCCCCCCGTGGTCCGACTGCACAGCATACCCTCGAAGCATACCCCACCTTGGACCACGTATGATGAGCCACGACGTACACTCCCACTCTCTGCTTTGTGCCACGACCGCCCCCCATCTCCCGCGCCCGTCATCCGAGTACGCGAGGGCGAGGCCCCCAACCTCCCGCGCCCGCCTGCGCCCCCGCGTCCGCCTCCCACTCAAGCTGCAGCGCGGCCATGGAGTAGGCCGCGGAGTTGGCCTAGAGCCTCGGGTGGCCTCGGGTGACCTGGGGTGTGATCTCGGGTAATCTCGGGTCGAAGTCCTCCTGTGGCAATGCAAGTCAGGCCTGC